TTTAGACATACTAAGTTCCTGTTCTAGTTCAGATCATTTTCTTTTTATTTGGACCATTCTTTTCCAATATTACAGTTTTCCCCTATAATTTCTGTTTTTTTTTTCTTACACTCTCTGCCTCTGTCATATTCTCAAGTTCTTCCAGCCCCTCAGCTGCGCAGTTTATTCTATGGAATCCTCCTTTTTAGGACACCTGTCTCTTTGATATAATGTTGCACCAGTGCTTTCTAGGTCTATTGACTAGCTGTCATCCTAAGAATTCCCTCTATCACTCTGTATAAGTTGGAGCCATTCTTTTCTGGATCCTGTCCTATCTTTGTCCTAGTTTATGCCCTTGCTTTGCAAGAGTACATCTTGAAGTCACTTCTTAAAGAATGTGTGGGAGGTGAACTTTGAGTCCTTGCAGTCACTTAATATTAAGTGAAGATTTTAAGTAAACTCAAAATTGATTAATGGTGGTGGTTGGCAGGCTATAGCCAGCAGGCCTAATCCAGGCTGCCACCTGTTTTTGTAAGGCCTGTGAGCTAGAAGTTTTGTACATCTTTTAAATGTTGTGGGGGGGGATCAAAAGAAGATTAATATTTCATGACATGCCAGAATTATATGAAATTGACCCATCAATGTCCATAGAGTTGTATTCCAGCACAGCCACACTTGTTTGTTTGTGTTTTTTTCTGTGGCTGTTTCAGCACAGCAGTTGGGTTATTCTAGAAGAGCCGGTATGCAGTGCACTCATGGCTTTCACTGCTGCTCTGTGCACTTCAAATGATGCTTATGCATTACAACTCAGTAACATTTTAAGTACCACATGTATCAATGCAGCCTGTTATTTTAATCTTTAAGGAAATTCCTAGTCTAAACGTGTCACATCAAAACAAGAAAAGACAAGAAAATGTGCTCTTGCGTTCAGATGTTGTGCTCTTGAGGCCAAGCAGAGTAGGGATTATCTTGTTACTGAATCACATGGCAAAGCATTGTGTTATGCGATGATTACCTAGAGTTATGCTAAAAGAATACAGTGTATGTTGATGTTACAAGATTAAGCAGTTATCACAATATTCCCAAATCATAGGGGAAAAGTGATCAGAAAAACAAAATATAAAGCAGAGTATCTCATCACAACAGAATTTGTTCACAAATTTTAAAAAGTAAAATGCCTGCATCC